TTGCTTTGTAAGAGAGTTAAATTAAATTTTAATAAAGACAGAGACATGGTCTCACCATTAATATTCAAAAAAAAAAAGAAATAATACATAACAGCCTCAACAGGATGGCAAAGTCACCCACATCTGCATTCTCTAGTTTATGTAGTAAAAAACATTTTATTCAATATATTTAATCTTATGAAGTATTAAATAGTAATGATCATTGTGTTCATCAAAATACTATAGAGAAGTTATAAATTATTGTTACATAGTGTTAATCGAATAATTTATACAAAACCTGAGTGTTTTTTTTATATATTATAGAGAAGACTCAAATTTATGTAGTTCAAAAATAAAAAAAAATTCAAGTTTTTGACAAACTTTTGTTAATAAGTGTTAACTTTGTCAAAATATCCACATTTCCCTTATATATATATATGTATATTAATTGGTATGATATTTATATTGCAAAGGCCAGACCAATTTAATTTGTGGTTTACATTACCCTCCTTCTGACGTTCCTCCTCACTATATGTATTAAATTGGTTTGACCTAATTATGTAAATATATATATTTTGTTCTATCATAATTATAATCATATTTTTATACAAATAATTTATAGATTTCTAATATTATGTTAATTATAATATAGACTAATATTAAAAAACTAAAAATATAGATACTAAATTAATTTTATTATATAATCTTAATTTTTTATATATTGCAGAACCACTTAAAAAAAAAGAAAAGAAATATTTATATATATAAGTACTATACATACTGTACGTACTGTATGCTAAAAAAATTTGGATACGTATGTACGTTGTGGAAGGTGAAATAATCCTTGTGTTCCGGCGACACCAATATACACTACAACACAGTACTAAAACTAACTAAACTCTCTAACCACAACACTACAACTAATACACCAAACCCTAATATTGGTAAGGCAACGATCAAGGCGTGGAAAGACTTGGTCCGAGTAACTAGGGTGAATTGGGTTCTTAGCGATAGCGTCGGATTAGAGCTCATGATTATGTCACGAATCTTCTTATTCAGAATCACGGGATTTGGTCACGAATTCCAATCGTAACTTATGGATTTTACTTATCGGGGGGGGAGAATTTAGTAGAACAAACGCTTCTTGATGCTAAACTCCAACTGAGCTTAACACGGATCACAAGTCAAATACTCTGATTTCTTTGACTTAAAACCTTGAACTCTCCCGAGTTCTACACTATTAGGGTGAATCGTAAGTTAAATACTCTAATTTCTTTAACTTAAAACTTTGAGCTCAACCGAAGCTCTACACTATTGGGGTGGATCGTAAGTTAAATACTCTAATTTCTTTAACTTAGAACTTTGAGTCAACCGAAGCTTAAGCTATTCTTTATTGAAGGTAAATGTTGCTACTTATATACATTATTTTTCAGACTAAAATCGTAACTTATCCTTCTTTTCTATTTTATTATTACTATGATTTTTATAAATCTTTTCATAACTATAATAACTATAATTCTTTTAATTCTTTTCGTTACTATAATTTTTATAATTTTTTTCGTACCGATTTTTCTTATCGTTCTGATTTTTGACGGTTGCTCCCATTTTCATACAAATAATACAAAAATAGAATAATCAATATAAAAAGTAATTCGAATACTGTGCTACGTCGGATGGTAACACATTGGGGAGGGGAAATTTTGACTGTTACAACTCTCCCGACCTTAAGTTCGAGTTCTACGAGAATATGATAAAGATCATGTAGAAAAACAAGTAAACCAAGATAAAAGTAAACTAAAAAAAAAAATAATAATATAAAATAAAATAAAAGTAAAGCATCAAAAGAGAATCGAACTATAATAGTTTATTTTCATCAAGGTATTTGATTACTAATTGTTCCTTTAAAAATTTTCCACCGGGATCAAACATTCGGTTTCGAAGGTCACGTGTTGGTAAATATCGTAGAGCTATATCCAAGTCGTCTTCAAATACTTCATCACCGCCTACTAACGTTTTACAATTTTCTTCTTTATCATCATTGACATCCTCAATATCCACTTTCTTTTCTTCTGTTTCAACATTAGAACTATTTCGTTTAGGGAACTCATGATCACGTGTTTTACCAATTTGATCCATCAAGGCAACTATCGGTCGTCCACCAGGAAGTATTCGTTTATCCTCACAATCTCTATACATTTCATATCTCTTTTGTTCTTTCTTTTCAAAACTGATTCCATTTTTGTAACAACATCCAAGAACTACATTCGGGTCAGATGGTGGAGAAGGCTCACCGGGATTGATTGGGTAGGGTTTTTTTATCGCTTCGTGGCCATCTTTTATCATTCTCTTGTATTCGTTAACCTTTTTATTCCACTCTTTGCAGGCTTTAGCAAGACTTTTTTCATTTCGATCGTGGAATCTTTTGGGATCAACTTGGCCACTTAAACCGTCATCCACACTTTTCACATACCATTCAGGTACCTTAGGGTCATCCTTTTCAGCTTTAATTCCATTTCCTTGGTCAATTCTGAGGTTCTTTTGTCCCTTCGAACTGCCTTCTTTAGCCAATTTTGAGTCCCATTCAAACGCCTTATCTTCGTCTTTTTCAACGCTGATTCCATGTTGATAACAGTTGCCAACGTCGTATATTTCATTAGTGAAGTCAGTTTCACGTGGTTTCTGGTAATCAGCGAAGGCTTCCTGTTCGTCTTTTTCGGGCGCATTGGGTTCAACGGTTCCATCCTCCATCTCTACGGACTTTCGATCATAAATAGGTACTTTGGGCACTTCCTTTTTATTACCAATCCCGTTGCAATATTTTTTATCAGCGTTTCCCATATCTTCTGATCTTTGATAATAGGTAAGTCTTCCACGTTTATCCTTTTCATCATCGTCAATGGTTGTCTTATGTTTATCCATTTTAACTACTATTCCATTTTTATAGCAACACCCAAGGTTGCCTTTTTCATTATCACGATTCATTTCTGCCGGGTCACCCTATGTTGATCTTTTGCGACTCCAATTCCATTATCATCCTTTTCAATGCCGTTTTGATAACAGTATCCACGGTTTTCGAGTTTGGGTTCCTCAAGCTCTTTCGGTTTAGACATCCAAGTTTCCAAGGTTTCCAAATAACCGTCGATCAGACTTTCTAGGACAACGTCGGTATTAGAGTTACCGATTTCAGCTGTTACTTCCGGGCTTGGAACGACTAGAGATGCAAAGGGCGGATCTTTCTTTTTCGTAACTGGGGACACTTTGGTGTAGAGAGGTAAGTATAAAATAGGCACTTCTTCACTTTCACTATTTGTTAAATCCTCTAATATTTCTAATGCTAATTCTAGGGCCTGAGGGAGTTGCAGATCGTCGATCTAGTCATTTCCGAAGGCTTCATTAATGAGTTGTTGGAATTCGGCGGCTTGTTCATCGGTAAGAATCTTAGTTAGGGCGACGGATTTTTCATCTAATTTTCTTACGGCAGAACATGTGGACACGCTATGTCCTTTCTTATTACAATAGGTGCTCCTGAATTTTTTAAAGGTTCTTCGGCGTGGTTCATAATTCCAAAACTTCTCTTGAACTTGCTGCGGATGGGTCTCTTTTGTTCGATACTGGAGGTTTCTCTTGGGATATTGACATGCTTGATTAATAGATATTTGATTTTGGGGGTAATAAAAATCCATTTTAATAGTTCATCTCAACGTAAAGGTTAATTTAGGGGATTAGTTCATCTCACAGTCACCACCAAATGTGGAAGGCAAAATAATCCTTGTGTTCCGGACGACACCAATATACACTACAACACAGTACTAAAACTAACTAAACTCTCTAACCACAACACTACAACTAATACACCAAACCCTAATATTGGTAAGGCAACGATC